GCCCCATCCTCCTGCGTACCCGGTCAAGGACGAAGGGAACCCACGTGACTGTCTTTGGGGACACAAAAATCTAAAAAAGGATTTTCAGTTTCCCTCTGACCGGCGGCAGTTGAACGTCGCTGGGCAACACGTCCCTATTCCAAATGGACTGCCCACTGAGATGAAGAAGGCAGCAAAGTCTGTCGACTAGAGATGAAAGGACTGCTATGAAACTGAATCAACCCAACGAAACGCCTGTACGAAATGCTGTGGACATCAAACACTTGCGAAAGAAAAGGAATCCAGGAAAATTGCCGGCCGACCAAAATATTGTTGTTGCATAAGAACTCTCGCTTCGGCGAATCAGAACTGAAAATATCAACCCGACTGAAAGATAAGTTGATTCTCTTGGTTTGATCTGTTTTTATATATGTATGTATTCGCTCGCGCCTTCTGTTCTTTAATGATCCCCTTCCCCCTTGTTAAATGAATTTTCCTTTTTTTCTTTCTTTATCTGTCTATATATTTATAAATAAATGTTTTATTTTGAAATCTATCGTCTTGTGTCTGTTCTTCGTTGATTCCCTTGTGTCGCTTCCATTTCTGAGTGAAGATCGAGAAAAGATCCCACGTTTCCTTCTTTTTTTTTTTAACCCGTGGTTCATCTACATGCTACAAGTTCGTAACATTGCAAACTTCTGGCGTTTTTCAGCTGGGTTCAGTCTTTTCTTCTTCTTCCTCTTTTCATTTGAGGGTGGACTTTTCGTTGAGAGGAGTAAAGAAAGAAAAGTTCAGAGAGATAAAGAGAGAGAGACAGAGACAGAGAGACAGAGAGAGAAAGAGCTTAAAGGAAAGCGCAAATGCCTTATTTTAATTTGAATTCTTTTTATTTTTGTTTATATACTTTTTATTTTTATATATATTTTTAAAAAATTCTTATCAGGACTTGCTACCATCTAATACTATTACAAAAAAGAAAGAAACAATATTTGTTCTTTCTCATGATTAATGACGGGTTTAAAAACTTGGAATTAACATAGTTGTGAAGAGCAGATATCTTGTTTAAATGCTTGTCGAATGATATCGTCCTCAAATAGTTAACTCACTGAGTAATAAAACTTTTCAAATATACGATAACAAAAATGAAATAAGTACCATGAATTATTTTATGAAACTGTCATACAGAAATAAAGTGTCACTGCCGACACTTGGGTTTGAACACGAATCACCAGAGATCAAGTACAGTCGACCTCATCTTGAAATAATTAGATCATGTGAGGATATATATATATATATATATATATATATATATATATATATATATATATATATATATATATATATATATATATATATATTGATTTAAAATATGTTTTTTTTTCACACAGTTCTAACGGTGTTTAAAAAATGGAAGCTAAAAGCCCCGAATTTAATTTTGTAATTAAATTAAAGACATTAGTTCCATTTCATCCGCAAGCGAATTTTGGAGTAACTTTTAAAATTACTGGGTTTTAAATACACAGCTAAAACAAAATTCATGTTTCCAAGGTTACAGATAAATCTATTTTGCTAGACAAGGGGTGTCTGGGTGTTCAATATGTCTATATTTTAATGTATCAGTTATTGCTACGTTTTGGTAGTGGGTAGGGATGTATTTTTCAATGCAATCTAACATCCGTTAAAAGCGTGTCGTCTGGATTTTTTAAAAATAACACCCCCCAAAAAATCTTTAAATATACGAAGAAAAAAATGCCGTAAGAATTTTAGCCGTTAACAATATAATTTAAAAAAAATCCAGACGACACGCTTTTAACGGATGAAATGGAACTAATGTCTTTAATTTAATTACAAAATTAAATTCGGGGCTTTTAGCTTCCATTTTTGAAACATGGTTAGAACTGTGTAGCGAAAAAAACATATTTTAAATCAATTAATTTATAATATTAATGCTCTGTAAATTTACATTGAGCACTATTTTGTAAAAACAAAATATCTATAAGAACACCGGATTATATATCTTACTGTTCTTTCTTTTATATATATATATATATATATATATATATATATATATATATATATATATATATATATATATATATATATATATATATATATATATATATATATATATATATCCGATGCAATGAGAACGAAAATAATATATAAGTTCTAACGTTTACAGCATTAATTCAAAATAGGGCTTGATACTGATAGTAGAGCAATAATTATTTAATATTTTTTCATATAGGCAAAAACAGTTTACTCACTACAAAGATGCAACTTCGTTTCATTGCATTTGAATTGCACCTCGACTGGTGAGAACCAAAATTGGTTATTGTAGTGAGTAAACTGTTATTGTCTATATATATATATATATATATATATATATGCATATATATGGGGATTAGTGGTGTCTGACCGAGTATTGATCGAAGGTGTTACTATTATTGTATCTGTGATTTACAAAGACTCTCCTACAACTGGGCATTGCAAAAGGAACACACAAGTAAAATTACAACAACAATAATAAACAAACAGACTGTCAAACAATATCAAGGTACAAAAAAATTGACAAACTTAGAAAAAATCCAGAATGTAAGACGTTCCAGCACTACTGTCACTGTCATCATTGCAGCGTTGGGATCTCTACCACTGAAAGTCCTACATTAAAAAAAAAATTAGACTAAAACCAAGTATCCCATCGCTTCAGAAGTCTGCATTACTTGGCACTGCAAATAGTCTATGAAAGGCACTGCCAAGGTACTGAGAAAGGATTTTTTTTTTAAGTTTAAAGGATGAGACAGTAAAGGTAACTTGGGAGCTACATCAATAGCCAGTGAAACCTCAATTTAACAGACTAATAGGGAAAGTTGTCTGTTAAAGCCGTTTGTCCATTAATTTGAAGGACTTTTTTTGCAGCCTAAAAACACCCAGTATAGTACATAGTTATCGTAAATAAATCTAAATACAGTATATACATAAATGTGTTTTATTTTTAAATTACTATATACCGTTAAATAAAGTTTGTAAAGTTTTAAATTTAAATCCGGAGTCCATTGATTTCAGGACCATTAATTCAAAGTTTTACTGTACTTGGTGTTTTTTTTTAAATGAATTGATTTGTTTTTTATGGCTTCTCAACCTTTTGTTGGTTACTTAAAGCCAGAAAATACTTTTAGATTGCAATAACTTTATGGGGATAATATTTTTTTATGAATACATCTTAACAGTTGGGCAGAATTGCCTCATTAGTGATGCTATGACTTGTGTTCATGACAAGTTTCGGGTCTTTCAACATCATACCTGTTAACCCAAGCGACTCTACTGGAACAAAATCTATTCTGGCAGGCAACTCTGAAGCAAATATCCACCAGGCACACAACAAAGGACATATAAAGAACTGCTACTGCTGATCTTGAAATACCAAGTGACAAATCAGAAACACCCTATGTCACTTCCTCCTCAGCCAAGACGAGACAAAAAAAGAACAAGCTGAATGCTCATCTTTTCTTTCTTAGGTCTAACATGCAGAAAGACCCACATTCTCATCGAACACTGCTTGTCATAACAGGTAGGTAATTTCTACTTGTTGCCAGGAAAGTTTTTGTCTCCTATGAAATGATATATCACTAAAAAAACAAAAAAAAACCTTTATACACATTCGTTGGTCATGGGAATTATGTTCAGAAATGTTTCTTGATTTTCTTTTTCGTCCCCCACCTTTTTTATCCCCAAATTCTATCAGTTCTTTGAAAAATATTCAGAGAAGTATTTTCTCCTTTTCTTCATTTTATGTAGTTTTGTTTTCTGAGGACTTCATGCAGCATTACAATTTTAAAATTGTAAAAAAGCATATTTCATTTTCATTGATAATTTACATATATATTTACATATTTGCCATCATTTGGCACAAAAATACAATTAATTTGTGTAATTCGTTCATTTTTGTGTTAATAAATTATTATATAGGAATAAAGTGTCGCTGCTGACACTGGAGTTTGAACACAGATCATGAGTGAGCAAACACAGGTGATTCCATTTCTAATAAGTAGACTGCGTGATGGCAAAGGAAATCTATATATGTATGGTGTCTAATTGATCACTATTTTTACTCTATCTTCTATTACTGTACGTATTGCTATTTTTTATACTATTCACTATACTGATCACTACATGGATTACTATTCGGTGGTTATATTTTCAGTGAGTATTATCAAGCAAGTACTATTAGTACGAGTGCTATTTGAAGGAGTCTGACACCAGTATTGTTCAACGGTGTTACTATAAGTTGTACCTGCGATTACAAAGTCTCTACTAGAACAAGCATTACAAAAGTGACAATTAGTATTTGTTGACCTCACAAAAGTGGTGTTGGGTGTTCGTTGACATCACAAAATAAATTATTGTCTGTTTTTAAACTTGGCTCATGTCACCTGTCTTTGTTGTGTACTTATATAAATTTAATCTTACCTTAAACATTTGTTTGAACTATTTTTTCATATTTTTTTTTTTTTACCAAATAAAAAAAATCTTATAATGGCTTGATGTAATCATAAGTTCTATGTTAAGTTTCTTCTCCCACACATTGTGCCTATGAAACTCTTCTAGCTTCTTGATTTCCAGTCAAGTATGATCTTCCAAAATTTAAATACAATGTCAATTGTTATCTTCTGTCTTCTTAATTCCTGTTCTTTTATTTTTCTCTCTTCTTAATAATGTTTTATTTTTCTTGTATTCTTTCACATTTAGTAATCCATTACATCTTGGTAGCTCTATTGCTTTGCTAGGGGTGAAATGATTAAAAAAAAATAATCTGTAATATAAATATTCATTAAAACAGCATTGTTCAGAATTTACCAAAAGGAAATTTGAAAGGCAGTTAATCATATGGAGCCAAAGATTGTAGTTTTTAATTTTTATTTATTAGTTACACTTTTAAATTATGTTTATTTTCAGCTTGTTGAGTTGTTCAAAAAACACTTTTGCCATGCCTCTGTTGGTTTTCACATCAGAAAAGATTATCAATTACATTGGCCAGCTTCTGTAAAGCTCCTGCAAAAAAAAAAAAAATTATTTTGATTTAAAGGTTAACAAAAAACAAACTTTTTTCTTTTTAAATCATTACAACTTTGTAAAGAATGAGGTTTCATTATTTAAAAAAGTTACCAGCTTATTGAAAAAGAAAAAAAAGAACACACACTTACAGAAAGGAAAATTAAAACAGAATCTACTGTTTATAAATTGTGTCAAGAATTTTAATATCACAAAAAAAAAAAAAAAAAAAAAAAAAAAGCAAAAAAAAGTGGGATCCCTATTGCCTACTGTTGTAGAGTAGTTTTCACAGTGGAGGCTTGTATTTCAATAAGTCGTCCTAAATTAGGTTCGACATACAAAACGTTAGGAACTTGAAATAAGAGTTAATGATGCAGCAATCTAGTTGTGATGGTTGGTACTTCAATGTCCAATATCGACTGACTCACTCAACACCACTGAGCCCAACTGGCGACCGCTACTATTACTACCACTTATTATGTGTGGGAGAGTCTATTAATAATAGAATAGGTACGTCAGGTATAACACCTACACTACAGTTTCAAATCAAAGTTCTTCTTTTCTAGAAAGTATGGCTAACCTACAATTTAACACATAGCTGGGGGAGAAGAAACAGATTCATGCTTTTCTGATAGTGTGAAGTGAATGCAAAAATGTAGGCTGGAATTTGAAATTAGTGTACCAATAGCTATTATACTACCTGCACATTATCTTATTATTATAAGAATACATGGTCAATTATCTCTCTCTCTCTCTATATATATATATATATATATATATATATATTTAAATCAGCATCACGAGAATGTGAAATTCATAATGCTTAATAGTCAATGAGTATTTTGCACTTGAAGATTGCATATCCGCATGAAACACTAAGTCATGCTATCAATGAGGAATATTATGTATATTCATTAATATATACTTAATAGCTCTGTTATATAACATTGAGCACTGTTTTTATAATCCCTGACAAAAAATATATATATATACACACACACACATACACACAAAGGGGGTGCAAAATTAGGTATACAGTAATAAAAACAAAACTTGTTCACAAAACGCACATTTCCAGTCCAACACGGTGCATCAAACGACCCAACGATCTGCGTTCAATACCCAATTCAGCTGCTGCCCTGTTTTTTGATTTCTTAGGGTTCTGGGTGAATGTCTGGGAGACTTGCATTGCTTTCTCCGGCGTTGTGACTGTGATTGGTCGACCACTCTTTGGTGCATTGTGGATAGATCCTGTCTGCTCAAATTTGTCACGTATCCGGTAAATCGTGAGTCTCGTTGGTGGAGGTGTTGCAAATGTTTCCCGCCATTGTTCTCGCACGCGTTCACAATTCTCTGTCTTCCAGTATTGTTTTAAAATCCATTTGCGCTCCTTGTCTGTTAAATTACCAGCCATTCTTAAATTACCACCTCACCTGTAAAACATTTTTCAATAGTAAAATTATAATAAATGTATTATAATAAAAATTTATGAAAATAAAAATAATTTTAATGAATTAAATGAATTCTAGTATCAAATGATCTAAGAACCAATATTATAGGTAATACTGTATACCTACTTCTGCAGTACCTTGGATATATGTGCGTATATGTAAACAGTGCGATGAGTAAATTGTTGCCAGGTTATATTTTTAATTTTGTGCAATGGCATTCTTTATTTTTGATTTTGTTGACTGTACAGTATAGTAGGGTCAGTTGGGCACCATCAGAGAGAAAAAGAGCACATTAAAGCAATTCACACCACTAGAAATTTGAAAATGGCATGCTGTACTACTTAGTATTCATGTTAGAAGCTCCATTATGAACATTTCAGAGTGTTTGGGTGTCAATCTGAGGACAGTGCGGAGGATTTGGAAAGAGTTGGAGGAGTCTAATGGTGATTACAAAGGTAAGGCAGCTCAGAAAACTCACTCTGATCATTTTGATATGAAAAGAACTCCTGAATTTGTTTGTGAAGGTCATTAGATACAACACAAAGGCCTACATCAAGTACCTTAAGGAGATAGTGCTCTGGGTCAAAAGGGTGGCTGCTAGAAGACTCTATTTGGCAACATGACTCTGCACCATACCACACAAGCAGGAGAACCCAGTTATGGCTGTCAGACAATTTCTGTGACCACATCACCCTTTATTTCTGGCAAATTTTAGCAAAATTGAACCTTTATGCCAGAAAAAAAACAGTGTGTCAAAAGGATGTTTTTTTTTCTATTGACACCATTATTATTTTAACTACCTTCACTCCTTGGCAATGTTTATTGTTTAAAAAAGCAATGACTAGAATTCTAATACAGGGTGCAATTGTCGCCATTTTATATTTTTGATTTTGCACATATGCATCGTTTGTCATTTATTTTGTTGACAGATAATATTGTAGGGTCAGTTGGGTAGTGTCTGTAAGAAAAAAGAGCACCATGATGCAATTCACTCCACCAGAAATTTGGAAAAAGCATTCTGTACTGTTTGGCATTTGCCCCAGAGGCTCCAATACAAACATTTCCAAATATTTGGGTGTCAATCTGAGGAAATGAACATAACAAACACATGGCCAGTTTAGATATAAAATCTCTCTACACCAAAGTTTCAGTTGAAAAATGCCTAAATATCCTAAAAAAGCATCTAATACAATAAAAATAAAGCTTTCTCTCCCAACAGCTAAAATAATAAAAATCCGTTGTCTCATCACCAATTAATGATACTTCACATTTAATAATGATTTTACAAACAAAAATTTGGATTACCAATGCGATCACCTTTCAGTGGAATGATGGCATGTATCTTGAATCTGGTCCTTTACAAAATATTTTACCCAAACAATCAGCATACTTCCATTATATTGATGATGCTCTACTTATATAACCTTGTGATACAGATTTACCTGACCTAGTCAATAAACTAAACAAAGTTGAACACACAATAGAATTTATATATGAAATGGAAGAACACAATTCCTTAAAGGGGTGAAGGTTTCACAACCCACCATTCGAAAAAGACTTTGAGAGCAGAAATATCAAGGCCATACTACAAAATGCAAACCATTCATTAGCAGTAAAAATGGGAAGGCCAGATTGGAGGTACAGAGATGAGCAATAAAATTTTTGGAAGAATGTTTTGTGGATTGATGAAACCAATTAATCTCTACCAAAGTGATGGAATGGCCAAAATGTGAAGAAAGAAAGGATCTTATGATTCAAAGCATACAAGCTCATCTGTGAGGCAAGATAAAAGCAGTGTCTTGGCTTTGGCTTGCATGCTTGTTTCCAGAACAGACTCATTCATATTTATTGATGATGTAACTCATGATGGTAGCAGTAGAATGAATTCATAAGTCTACAGAAACATTTTGTCTGCCAATATACAGAGAAATGCTTCCAAATTAATCCAGTGGAACTTTCTGATTCAGCAGGACAATAACCCCAAACATACTGTAATCACAACTAAGAACTTCATCAGGGAAAAAAGTGGACACTTTAGGAACTGGCCAAGTCAATCACCAGACCATAAACCAATAGAGCATGCATTTCATCTCCTGAAGAAGGGACTGAATGAAGAAAGCCCCTGAAACAAACAAAAACTGCATTAAAAATCTGGAAAAAGCATCACAAATGAAGATTGCAACAGTTTGGTGACGTTGTTGTGGTATGTTAATATATATGAACATTTGTAGATGTCTGTTTATTAACGTGACCACACGATTTATATTTTACACAAAATACCACAAAATATGAAACACAAGAAGGAACAAACGGTTTTATAACAACAACATTTATATTTATTTTTGTGTAATGATATACATGTATAGAGGTTACTGTTTTGTTGGTGTTATGCCCCTTTGACTGAATTAAAGTTTTGCTAATGAGATTGAAATATTTTTATCTGATCTCACAAAAGTTGAATGATTTATGAAGCTGAGAAATGCTGAATAAATTTGTAGCTTTAGAAGAGTATTTCAAAGAGAAAAGTTCTTGTTGCTTGTTTGAAATTGTTTGTATGTTTGTAATGTAGTTTGGAAAATTTTGTACATACGTGCATGCGTGAATATATTTTTAACGTCTGGCTGTGCATGGTCGAGACGGGATCCTTTAGGGTTACATCTTCGCAGGAAAAGAGAAGAAAAGAAGAAGAATGAGCAAGCTTGTGTCTGTTAATTATAGTTAATGTAATCACATAATAGGATCATGGAAAATGGTGGAGAAACTTGACTTGGTCTCGCACTGGAAAAATATTTGTACGTGGGCGGATTTGCAATGCCCACTTGTGTGTTTATTGACCAATTAGAAGATGATATTTCCTGAAAATGTGTATGAAGCTGGGTAAGCTTTTGATCCTCTTTTTTGCACAAATTTGTACAAAATTCAACATTGAAAAGAAAGTGGTAGCGGGATGCTAAAATGTCAATGGGTCACAGACTTGATGCTGTAAATGCTACTTGGGTTTATGCGTTGAGGTTATCAAATGTAATTGTGTGTTCTAAGAGCATTTATCTATTATACATTTAATGATTCAAGAAAAAAAAACGACCAGACTCCAATTGTGCGTCAACAATAAAATATATATTGAAACAATAACATACAAAGAAATCATGCAATGGTTTGTTGTAATTAAGGGAGAAAGAGTTGCTTCCTTTCAACTGTATTCTGATTAAGATTGAATGTTCAAAAGAATTTCTCTTGAATAAGAATGTTCAGGATTCTATGTTGAATAGAGTCTGTTGTTAGAATAGAATACAGTTAATTAAGAAGTGTATTGTTTTGAGTAAGTAAGAGAGTTCTGGTTCATGAACTTGGCATAGTCACAGAGAGGAAGAATGTGTAATGTGATACAAAAATCTGTGTGTGCGTTGTGAGTAAAGTCGTGGATTTGTGTAGACAGGCGTAATCGCTGGTATTGTCCTAAGCTGTTTAACACATCTGAATATAAATACCAGGAAATAAAGACTGAAATTCTGAACTCTTCTCATATTCATCTTTTGATTTTAAACCCAAATGTCTTCAGTGAACAACAAAACAAAGGATTTGGTCTTGCCGTTCTGATACTTTTGGAGGGAACTGATTAATTAAAATTAAATAGAATTTATACAAACCAGTGGTTCCCCATTGCTTATTTTGTTTCACCTCATGACATTGCATCTTTAAAGATCATAGTCTTCATTTGGAGGACTGGCACAACACAATGTTTCTCTATATACTTGGCGTTGTGTTAGTTAAACAAAGTTGCACTTAGTATGTCTCTCATAAGTTTTCTCGAGTACGTAGAGCAGTAAATTAAATAAATACTGTTTTTTTTTTTTAAATATAAAGTAAAACTCAACATGTATCCACTAACGTTTGAAGTAATAAAAATATGTAGGATGAAATTAAAACCCCTCCTAAATTCTTTAGAAATCATTATATATATATGAGAGAGACAAAGGTAAACAAATTATAAATTAATTCAGTACCTACATCGTGCTTAATGGTGTATGATCTACACTGTAGGTGTATTAAGCCAAGTAAAAAAAGTAATTAACAAGATTTTGAATGCTAATTTTAAAAGTTTTTTTTTATCCTCCATACAATCTTCATTTGATTTATTACTGTACTAACTTAACTATAGCATTATCTCTTGCTTTCGCTATCTACCTAAACAGCAGAAAAATTAATTGTATCACCATTGAGCATCCTTACATAGGAATATAGCGCGTTCTAAAATTATGCGGAGCACAACGAATAGCATGAAAAAAACGTCAAGAACTCTTACTGGTATCATCAGAATACTTTGAGAGTAATAAAATAAAAACGTCTAAAACAAGTTGGAGTCTGGTTTTTAAATGGATTCAAATCACTTGAAAAAAAATGGTACAAAAAAAAATAACTATATTTGTTTGTTTATTTACGTTTCGGTTTAAGAAAAAAGAAAAGAAAGATGTTTTCATTAAGAGTATAGATTATAGATTAGATATTTAACTTACCCAACAATGAACTTGTCTTTCTTGTAACAATGAGTCGTTTCAGCAAAGGAGACGACGACAGATTTTCCCCATTCCAAACCTACAATTCTTTCGTAGCAACCAAAACATTTAAAAATGTCGAGTGGAAAGAAAGTTCAAGGGAGGTAATCAATGAGTGAAATTTTACTTTCTTAAGCCGTCGGTATATGTATTCGTGTACAAGTCGATATTTTTATACCGACTTTTGAGACGTGAACCTTCACACGGTTAGTACAAGTTCCATTTAGGCCAGTGGCAACTCCCTCTTATGGCCGCTGTGAACTCTCAAGAAGACACCAAGTGTTCAGGAGCATTATGGGGGTGGTTATATAATTTTAACAGGACAGTAAGATGATTTATTAACCCTTTGTACTCTGATTGGATCAATCCACAGCATTTTTTATGTTGCAGGATATGTTTGGGTCTGGAACCAACCATTTGGATAGTAAATATCTACGGTCTCCTGGAACATTTATATTATCCCGTGAACAATATTGGCGGACTCATTGGTAAAATTGAGTAACTCAAAACAATAAATATAAAACGAACAACAACACATAGATTTACAAAAGGAATTACATGTGTAGAAAATTGCAACAAAAGGAAAAAAAACATTTAAAACAAGTTATAAGAAGAATGTGATTGTGTGTGTGTGTGTGTGTGTGTGTGTGTGACAAGCGTGTGGGGTTCAGCGTACCGGGATTAAAGGAGAATTTAATACGGGATACCCTGCCCACAAAATACAACGCAAATTTCAAGAAGAAACAACACGATAAGGAACATTTGTAGAAAATAGAACATTGTATATTTATTATCTTGTGAATAGGGTAAAAAGATTAATGCTTTAGTTCGTTTAAGCAAAGATGTGATTTTTACAAAAATGTCTGTGTTCGCTGTCTTTCAACAGAGTAGCAGAGTAATGTCTGTTTCTTTTGTTTTTGTATATGTGTAAAGGAAAAAGGGGCGATCAATTTAAGTTCAAAAAGAGTGTGGATGAGGAATAAAAGATAAAAGGAAAATGTACTTATGAATTGTTTTGGAGTCAGTTGTAAATTTGTTGTTGTTGTCCTTTCCTAATCCACTTTCGGCTCTTAGTGTCGGGTTGAGTCAGCGATGGAATTTACTGTCAGTTTTCTATGATCTCTGCGCCCTTCTGACTGGCGACTGACTTGAAACTCTGTATTTATTGTTGACTTTTTTTTTTCACACTGGCTCGTTATCTTTTTTTTTTTTGGTTTAGCAAATCGCCTCCTTTCGTTGGTCAGAAAATTAATTTCACACCTTATTGCGAAATCTGTTTTTAGTCGTTTTGATCCGATTTTGCGGGTGTGCAAATCTATTTTGTGTTTTTTAGTCATTTGTTGGAATGATATACGATTTGTATCCTATAAGCGTCTGTGATAGACGCGCGCGCGTGCGTGCGTGCGTGTGTGTGTGTGTGTGTGTGTGTGACAAGCGTGTGTGATAGACACGTGTGTAAAATAAAAAAAGAGACCAAAGAAGCGAACGCGCCTTGTCGGCAGCCTTTCTATCTACATGCAACTAGATCTGAAAGCCAGAGCTAAAAAAAAAAAAAAAAAAAAAAAAAAGAGGTCGAGTGAGAATATCATTGCTTATTTATAGGCTTAAAGAACACCCCCTAGCAGGCGTTTTCGCAAAGCCAAGTGGGGTAACCCACATATATACACATTTGAACATTTGTCTTTTTTACTTTATTTAATTATATTTTAGACTATTTTAAACAATTTAACTACAGCTGTTATTCTTATGGAGTAATACCCTGTACGCTAAAACAGAGTTTCCTGACCACCCTCAACCCGAATTGTTGAAACCTCCAATCTATGATATGCTGTCCCTACTACAGCTAATTTTATTGCAAAATATTTATGTATAGTAATGGATCATGTGCAATGTGGGTGAACAATTCAACTAGAAAAACTGAAAATAAATACAATGTCATAGTAGATCATTTTTTAGCATTCAGCTACCACTTTCTTATCATTGTTGATTTTTGTGCAAATTTGTGCAAAAAGCGGATCACAAAACTTATTCAGCTTCATACATATTTTCAAAAAACCTCAACTTCTAATTGGTCAGTTAATATTTAAATCATGTTTTCAACTACGTCCGAATAACACCGACCTAGTTCTTGACTTGACTAAAAAATATTCCGCCAAATTCTTTCTATGCTTTTTGAAGACGATCACGTGATTAAGTCGATTATAAATACCGGACACAAGTCCGTTCTTCCTCTCTCTTGATTTCTCTTCGCTTATTAAAATGTAGCAGTAAAAGAAAGCGCGTCTCGACCTTTTGCGGACGGACGCTATGAAAACATATTCACACACGCACACATATACGTACGTACGAAACTTAATTACGAACACTACATAACATTACAAATAACGGAAACTTAATTTACAAATATTAACATTACATTACGAATATTCAACTACAAGCAACGGAAACTAATTAAACATTACGGAACATTCACTCCTTCAACTCTTTTGAAGCTAAAAAGTTTACTCTACATATTTTCAGCTTAACAGAATTCTCTCAACTCACTCACAGTGAACATTTTGAGCGGCAAGTTCATTCAACTTTTTATGATCTCAGATAAAAAAGTATGCCATTAGTACAAACTTTAATTCTAGTCAAAGGGACGTAACCCCTATGCATGTACATCATTACAGATATAAATATAAATATTCTTTGTTTGTTATAAAACCGTTTTGTATTTCTTGTTGTTGTTTCTCTTGCAATGTGCTTTTCACGTATTTACCATTTGTAAAGGATTTTTTGTGTGCGTAATTTCTCTGTTTCTATAGTCCTTCAGTTACTCCTATGTATATAATTTTTGGTTATCTGCTGATTTTACACTGGCTTGGTATATTATATTGTTTTGCAAGCAATTGCGATTTAAGGGACATTCGTTCTTCCCTCTGCAGTTAAAGGTGGGTTTGATTTGTGCGGGTGATTTTGTTGGTTTTTCTGTTGTGATTTTTTTATTATTTGTGTCGTGTTCTCGGTGCAACTGTAGATACTATTAACTTTGTAAATTTACTTTTAGTTATTTAAAAATCGAAAACTAAAATGTTATATTGTTTATCTGAAAGATGATTATTTTAATTTACAGTAATCAGCTAAGAGAAATATTATTATTGATTTGTATCATCAATGACGTACCATGCATTCCAAACACAAATATTAGAATTCCCTCATGCTCCATGATTTAATGTCCACCGATGGAATTTAATCGTGGAAACTGTTGGCAGAAACAGAGAGAAGGGTTCAAGTGTTTGAGGACTGATATGTCCCGGAAAGGGATATATTTGTTCGAAGTAGCAAAGTGGTTTTGGACTACTGTAACCGGGTAGGACAATCTAGCAGGTAACCGTAATGGACTGGTTCTCAACGTAGTGGTAGGCAATAGGCGTAGGCAATAGGCGTAGGCAATAGGCGTAGTCCCTGTACCTCCACATCAGGCTGTATTTATGGCTGACACCAGCCAATCATATTACTGTGAGGGGGGATCCAGGTGTATGCATATTCATTACATCAAGGACAAATGCACTCCTTAGCATCTTCTATTGGGAACATAAAGCCAATGAGTTTGTGCGGAAAAGGGTTGAAAATTTTCTGGGTCACCAGGAACCTCCTCTCGTACTTTCAAAGGGGGGAAAATGGCATGATTTGGACACGTTACAAGACACGACAGCGTGTGTAAAACCATCATAAAAGGCACCGTTGAAGATGGACGTAGGAGAGGACGCTAATGCAAACAATGGACAAGTATGATTATACCAAAATTGCTGATGGCTGCCGCTGATATATCGTCGTGGAGGAGATTCAATATGGCTTCTGCATTCGGATCCTCTCTACGATTACGAAAGTCAAGGGAATGATGATGATGATGATGATGATGACTCTTCCCTAGTCTTTTGAACAGGAATAGAGGTTTATCCCTTGTTTCCTGTTTAGGATTGTGTTTCCGGTTCCTTCTAAAGTCTACTTCAACTCTATACTGCTAACGTGTCTACCTGAACGTCTCTATCCGGACAAGTGGCACTTGACCCCGAAAGTTTTCATTCATTTATCTATCCATTTCCTTTTGGACAGCGGAGACTTGCTTTGAAGTTCTCATTTCTAGACTTTACTGACAGTTAAAAAACAAAAGGCACTTTAAATAAAATCATTTACCATCCACTTTAATATGGAGATGTCCTAATCACAGCTAAGCCACATTGTGTTGCAATCAGTGCAAGAATACAACAGTGATTATTATGCCAATTCTCTTCAAGCCACTCGAGGTAGAGGGTTACAGAGTAAGAGGCAAGGAGCACAGTTTATAAGGATATGTGAGAAAGATAACGGTTGACCCTAGATTGAACTGGTTAAGATTCAAGTGATTGGGGAGCATCCTGTTGGGAGTCGGTTCCACAAAGTAGCAGTCCATCGGAAGAAGCTGTTCAAGTTGGAACTTACATCTTACCAATATGAAAGTGGTTCACTAAAATGTACGTGGCGTAGCGGTTCTTAGCACTGTACTTAAATTCATAAAGTCTAGGTACCATAGAGAAAAGCTCATCAGAACAATTACCATGAAAAATATTTAAAAGAAATGGCACAGGGAAGCTATATTATGGCAGTGGGAAATTGACTGAATCCAAGATGCCAGGTCAGGACCAGTGACATTGCAGATTCTTTGGATTTTGTCAAGGATTTCTAAATATATAGCAGGAGCAGCAGACCAGATACGGTAGCAATATTCAAAGCAAGATTTTAAAAATATTTTAAAAACTCAAGTGGAAACCTCATGATAGGAATTAAAAAAATAGGCTGTTGAAAAGGACTTTAAAAATTATGATGCCATTTTTTGATGGCATGGGTAAACTGGCGGATTAATAGAAACCTAAAAAAAGCAATTGGGAATTAAACTAATTGAATAAAATTGATTGGATTTGTGGAGCAAAGACGGAAATAAACAGCAAGACAGTCAAATGACAAAAAAAAGAGAAAAAAAAAAAAAGGTTTCTGAGTAGGAAATAAATTAATTCTTTG